CGTTGGAAGGATTTTCGACTCACTAGACAGAGTTGCAGGTGCGGGTTGTACGGACTGTGTGGACAGTAATGAAGCTGCTTCAGGATCCGCCATTGTTGCTTTTTTTCTCCCAGTTGAAGACAAGCCAGGTGACGTTGGCAGCAAGTGGTGGTCGAGTCGCTGCCGTAGTGGCCATCACTTGCTTCCCCGCGCCAATATGCCCGTAAGCACAAGCGAGTAACAGGATCATCAAGGTTTCTTATTTCTGCCAACTTTCTAGGCTTATCATTCATCGTTCAATGAAGAGGCTGATGTACGAATCGTCGGCAATGTTTCTCTACTGCCTTTCAAATCAAAGATTCGAGGACCTGCTCCCATCGGTAACTACCTCTTCTCTCCTTCCGTACTTGTTATACTCAATACTAGTCTGTATATAGCCGAAGCGGGTTCTGTTGACATAATCGACGAGACATTGGATCTCTTCAGAGCGAACTCGCTCTTCAGGAACTTTGAGATCAAAGGCCCTGCAGATCGCCTCCTTATCATTCTTATCCTCTTTGTTTCAGATTGTTTAGCCAAGATCACAGCGTCACGTACGCCTCCCACTCAGATCGAGGCTACGAAAACCTTGAACACCTTAGCTGTGGATAATTTCCCGATACCGGGTGATGCCAATTTTCCTCTGAATGCTCACTATACTGCGCCCCCGAATCGTATTGAATCCGGTACGTACAGTTTCCTTCATCGTCAGATTGTCTCATAATTCATTGGCTGTATCGCTACAGATTCACTACGTCAATATCTGGTGCAGGCTAGACAAGAGACAGCAGCACGCCTCGTAGAGAAGCTTTACGCCGATGGTACCGGGAAGCCAAGCAAATGGTGGACATGCTTCACCAAGCGTCGATTCATGAACCGAAGTCTCGGAAACTAAGGGTCTTATCATCTCATTCTCATTCTCAGTCAAAGACAATGGGTTTATATAGGTGGATTCAGAAGCGTAGAGACGAGAAAAACAGAATTTGGCACATCAGAAACGTCGAGGACTAGCTGAACATCGTAGATTTAATGGCGACCTTGCATTATTCGGCTGCACTTGTTTGATTGGTAGTGCCTCTTGAGATTCTTTTTATCAAGTATCAATCCACTAGAATTCCAAGTCAGAACGTTGTGGGAGAAGGCCCGTTATGGTGCTCACCAAGAACTGCAGACTCTCTTTTCCTGCTTGCGATGTGCCATGAGACATTCTTTAGTGAAGAACCTAGCCGTGCTTTTGACGGTTTAGACTTTTGGCTAGCGGTTTATAGAGTGGTGGATACGTACCACACCTCAAAGGGCGATCTGCAGCCACCTAAACAGGCGAATGGCCTATGGTCCAGATGCTTGCGACAGTGAGCTATAGCCCTATCTGATCGACTATGAACCTGTTCACAAAAGATGCATTTGTACCGATTGTCCTCGGACTTTTCTATAAAGGGAGAGAAAGCCCCAACGGGTTCCATTTCATTGGCGATCCACCACGCTTGCATTAACGTGTCTGAAAGCAACCCTCTTAATGCCTCTTGCTCTGGGCTTGGAAGCATTTGTTTGACGAATATATGGTTGCTTTGGGGGACGTTGCGACTAGGAATGTTTATACGATAGTTGATACCGAAGACAGGCGGGACTGTGGATATATTGCTATTTAAAGTAGTTCCGAAGTCGAATTCTGATGCTTTACGTTTCTTGGACACGACGGGGATGTTGTCTTCTCCAGATGATGTGCGGATGCTTGAGACAGGATGATTCCTAATGACTGGATCTATACTTGGAGAAATTACCGGGTCTACAGGGGGCTCAAAATCCCTCATGGATGAAATGGAACTCGCAAGGGAGGAGAACGCGCTTTCATCAGGGTAGTCGTAGGTGGTCTGAGTAAGGTCTGGGACGGGCTCTCTCATTTTGCTCAGGGTGTCTGGTTTGAACCTAAAGAATGGGTAAGCATTTTTGGGATCTGGAACGACTTTAGCCATGCTCCGCCACCACGAAACATTGGACGTACTCCACAGATTCGCTATTCCGGCCACTAGATCCTCAGAAGTCACTTTATCTACATCTTAATGATTGATATAGTTAAGAAAAAAGGGGCTATGTACGGGGGATTACACGTACTTGAGAGACGACCCTGGGAGACCTGAGGCAGCATAGGTATCTGGCTATCTGGAGCAAGGATGTGAAAAGGAATCATTCCATAACCTTGAGGAGGTCCTTTAAACAGGCTCCAGCGCTAAGTTACGAATGGTGCGAGAGGGCAGTCTCCGATTGAGCATGGCATTACACCCGGCCTTCTGATCTCAGCAAGCCAGTCGCAAATTCCAGAGACGTACAAGAGTCGTTCTCCAGATACCTCTGTAAGGCCCTTATCTTGAAGCGGTATCAATTAATGGCTTTGAACTGTAGGCGGCGCATCTGTCCTCCTTGGTCGTGAATTGTCCCAGGCAAATCCGACATAGAGACTAGGGTGCAAGGAAACTTGGACGCGTATATTTCCTGGCGGCATATGTCATCCGCAGTCACGTTATACTGCTGATAAAGGGTGTCTCAATGGGAGACTGAAGCGATTTCCACTCCTCTCGAGAATGGCATTTTGCATAATAGTGCCAACCTTTTTCACATCATCATGTGCGTAATAACCGGCGCTCCATCACCAGCATGCCGCGCCGTCCACTTCTCTGCGTCTTGACGCCTCGATCACTGGTTGGTTGGGGTATGATTAATACGATAAATAAGCCCCAATATTCATAAAGCAAAGTTTATGAGTCCTTCTGGATGAATGGTGACTCACCCTTGTCTGACATGGCCATAGCTCAGGAGAGGGAGACTGGTTCTGACCAGTCACAAGAACGAGAAGGGGATCGTTCTTGGGCCAAGATTCGGACACCAGCCAATCAACTTGGTTCACAACAGAGTGGTCACAAAGCAAACTCGATTGGAGAACGCCACAAGAGTATGACCCCCCGAACAACTCGGGGAAACGGAATGAGAGAGTGAGAAAAAATGAGGGTCTAATCAAATACTTTTCATGCCGTTTCGTGAGTAGATCCGACACTTACTCGTAGTATTCTAGCCTGACGGACTATGAGACCCATCCCCATAGTACAGTTTATTGCATCACAATACCTATAGTTGAAATAAAAATCGCTCTATATGCACTCAAAATAAGGTTATCCCTTTTTCTGGGATTTGTTTTCTTACGCACAAAGGAGGTCAAGCCGGCATTTGCTCGTACTCAACAAACGGCCAGTCTTATTTAAAAGGCGCGGTCTATCAAATACTTGATATAGAACAATCATCTCAATTGGGAGGTTAGTGATGTACATACAGGTGTGCATGGTATAACAGATAGAGTCAATTATGGGTATCTTCCAGCTCTACTCCAATATTGCAAAAACAAGAAGGTACAAGCACAGTCACAATACTTAACATGACGCGATAAGTGGGTCATGGAAAGGTCAGGTCGGCAACTGGTTTCGTCCACATGCTTTGCTTTGGTGATGACGCTTCATGTTCTTCTTCTCTACAGTCTTACCGCTGTTCAACTCTGATCAGTGAAAAATTCGAATGAGTTGAGAGCCTTCGGACTTACCAGTGACTGCAGTCTTCCTCGTACTTGGTGCAGTGCGACTTGAGATCGGCCTTGGTAAGAAAACGGCTTGTACTAAAGAGATATTAGCATGGTATGTACCTCTCAAATCAAGAGCCTTACCAATCAGCGCCACCGCACCCTTCAGTACCCTCGCAACGGTAAGGGCGATGGTCGATGTGGACACGGGTATGGTCGGTTGCACGGTCGGGACGACGGTTCTAAAGACACAAGCATATCAGATCTGTCATATTCGACTAGATTTCAAAGAGCGCCACCTTCTTGCCACAAAAACGACATTCAAATTGCCTCGGTTTAACGGGGAGTTTATCTGTGAAGATGTCCAATGCATTTGGAGGTTCCTTCTTGTTCTCGCACCACCATTCTGACGGCAATATATCGTTACGGAGGACTAATCGAAGGGTAGGATCAGTGGGATTGGGGACCATGCTATTGATGAATAGGTCAGGGTTCCGACTATACTCCTCTCGGCTATGTTGAACCGGATGGAGTGATCCAGAAATTTCACCACCAGCAGTTGGGATGGGTGGAGCTTCTTGAATGGGAGGCCCAGAGGGCACGTTGGATAGCGCAGGCAGGGGATAGAAAGACGAAGAGAACCCATTGGATGACAGCCCCGTGTGCGAGAATGACGGTAGGCTCTCTGTTTGTAGCTGGGGAACTGCGCCAAAGTGGGCGGGCATTTGGGTGGTCAAGAGGGGTTCTATTTGTTCGGTGAGTTGTGAGCTACCTGGAGTTATTATGATTTCTTACCACCCGGATATGGTTGCACAGGATCTCTCATTGACGGCCAGAATCCCTGATTATTAAATGGAGTAGGATCCTCTACGGGAATGAAGGTGAGTGGGTAGTACATGATATGAGATCATTTGCTCACGCAGACTGGGGGGTGCTCCTAGAGCGTCCCAGTTGTTGTCCCAATGAAGACCTTCAGGATGAGAGAATGTTTCGAAATAGGAGGATTGCATTTGGAAGGGATAGTCCAGGAAATGTTGGGTATTGATTTGTATTATCCACGTAGGCGTTGACCTGTTATTAAGAGTTAAAGGAGTTACGGGTTATAATAGGACGTAGTGTTGGTTAAGTTGTGAGATCCTCGGGTGTATGCAGATTCGGTGAGGCGCAACGCGTCCAATCCCAGCAGCAAGGATAGGGGCGAGAGATTGACATGCATTAAATAATAGAGTCCTCTTTGTGAGGATGAGAACGTTTGTGAAAGTACTTACGACTAGTATTGGAAGACCAAGGGTGCGGTAGCGAACAGAACACAAGCGTGATTGCTGCCACCCATGAGGACGGCTTCTGAAGGATTTTCTATTGGGAGTCGGGTCATGTGGGGAGAAAATGAAAGAGGACATTATTTAAAACCATAATTTATGCACTCTACTGCTTAAATGAGGTCGTATTGTCAAGTATAATTCGAGTGCTCATCTCTCGATGGTGAACCGCTAGGTTCTGTTCGGATAAGGGTTCTTCTGAGATCCTTGGTGACAAGACTCGCGTGCTCATTATATTACGTCTTACTCTTTGAGCCAGTCGCCAGGATCATGGTCACTTGGTTGAATTGACAGACTACCACGGTACATGCAGACGTGTTTGGCATATCTGAAGAATTTGTAGAGCAACATAGGGAATCCTAAGAGTCATATTCCGATATCACAGACCAGGACAGGAACGAGACAAAAAAAGTACAATTACAATACACAACAACAGACGAGAAAGAATAGACGGAATAAACAAAAAAGGTGATACAAATGTCGGGTAAACGAAATCTATTGGATTAAATGAAGCGTGGATTAGGTCCATGGGAATGTCATGCTGACAACCGCGCCGCTCGTCTACATTTCTGAGTTTTCTGATGACGGTTGAGGTTCTTGTCCTCCACAATTGTACCGCTGATCAAATCTAATCAGTGACAAGTCGAATGGGGTTAGAACACTCGGACTCACCAGGTGCCACATCGTTGCTCGTTCTTGGAGCGGTGCGACTTGAGACAATCGTTGGTATAGAAAGCCATTTGGCTAAAAAGATGTTAGCGCGTGATGCACCTCTCAAGTCAATAGACTCACCAATTCTGGTCACCGCATCCTCGAGCGGCCTCGCAGCGGTAAGGGCGATGGTAGATGTGAGTCCGGATATGGTCGCCTGCACGGTCAGAGCGAGGGACCTGTAGACAGGTACGTCAGATATGGTAGAATCAATCGAATCCGAGAGCCCTACCTTCTTCCCGCACAAAAGGCACTCGAATTGCCTCTGGCTCCCGGCGGCATGCTTCTTGATAAATGGGACGAATTCCTTGCGAGGCTCCCTTTCGTTCTTGTACCACCAGTCCGACGACAATATGTTATAGAGGTGTAGTCGAAGTGAGGGATCAGCAGATCTGGGAAGGATGCTCTCGATGAGTAGGCCGGGATTGAGCCTATACTGCTCTCGGCTATGTCGAACTGGGAACGCTGGGGAGAGTGACTGAGGAGATTCACTGATAGTGATTGAAATGGGTGGTGTTACTGGAACTGGCGACCCAGAGGACACGGAAGATAGTGTGGGGGTATAGGAAGACGGGGGGAACCCGCTGGATGGTGTCCCCAAGGGTGAGGTTAATGGTGAGTCCTGCGGTGTCCGCTGGGGATTTAGGTCAAATTGCAAGGACGTTTGGGTCTTCAAGAAGGTCTCTATTCGATTGGTGAGCCGTGAACTACCAGGAGTCGTTATTAATTCTTACCTTCTACGTATGGCTGCGCGGCATCTATCGTTGACAATGGCCAGTATGCCGGATTATCAAACCGAGCAGTTTCCTCTTCTTTGAGATGAAGGTCAGTGGGCAGCACGTGATCTGGGATCACTTGCTCACGCATACCAGAGGGTACTCCTAGAGCGTCCCAGGTGTTGCCCAAGTCGATATCTTCAGAGAGAGGGAACGTTTCGGCGTAGGAAGACTGCATTTGGACAGGGAGAGTGTGAAAGTGCTGGGTGTTGGTGTGGTAGTTGCCAGGTCTCTCTCGCCGTGGCTCTTATATGCGTGCCGCTGCTTGCTTTTCGGATACTTGTCCGTGACCCTGACCA